AGGCTGGAACTTCTTGATACATGTTTGATAGCTTACAAACATCTACTTATTAAGTGTGCATCTGTTGCGTTAGCTGCTCAACAGCAGAAACACTGGAAAACCCCTACTCAGCTCATACTGGCTCTGCTCACTATTTTTAGCTGGGGTTTAGGACCTGAGGACAAAACAAAGTTTGCATTCTTGGCTCTTTGGTCTCTTTGTTGTGGGTTTCCTCCCTCAGACACTGGAAGGCATCTCTGCACCTTTTTTTCAGAAACCATTTTGCAGCTATTTCCACCCAGCAGCGTTCTGGTGTGTTTGTTTTGTTGTGTTCAAAACACCAAGAAAATATTCAGGGTAAAAACTGACATCCCCTCCCAGGTCAGCCTTTCACAGCATCAAAGTTATCAGTTTCTGAGAGCATGGGTGGAATCAACAGGAATTCAAATTGTCCTTCAGGGGAGACCCCATGTTCTGTGGGGCTGGGCAGCAGCTCCCTCCCAGGGGATGTCCCTGTCACACTCTGGTCGTGGCCCCTTGTGTCACTTTGCTAGCTGTGGGACTTTCTTTCCAGCACACAGATTCCACCAGTAGGGTAGAAAATCACAAGAATGGTAAAATGAGCAAAGAGCCCAACGGAGCCACGTCCATTTATATTTTGCAGGCTTGATTCTCTGTCGTTGCTGCTGGTCATTGATGAAATTTTAAAGAAGAAAAGCTTATAAAAGGTCCTCAGTGACCTTCAGGGCCTGGATTTCCTCAGCAATTCCAACTCAGAGACATAAACCAGACTGCAGCAAGCTGTAACTCCTCAAACATGTATGAAACCACAACCTAGGATGGATTATTCCATCTTCCAGTGCATGAGGCATAGAGGGAGGGGGATGTTCCTGCTGACCCATGGATTTGGTGGTTAATGTTTGCATTGCTCCAGGTGTTGATGTCAGTAACAAATCTTCCATAAAGCATCAGAGTTATTCTTTACATCATTTAGGTGATACCTCCACGTTGCTACCTCAGGACTGCAAATAACTCCAAGTGGATCGTTTGGGAATCCTGTTTGTTGAGATGGTGTTTTAGCAACGGGTGAAATATTTGCACATCAGCTGTAAAATCATGTTTTGCAAACTTCTGAGGCAGGTTTTTTGTTTTGCCTGGAAGCACACAGGAGGAAGGTAGGGCAAGAGTGAAGATTCTGCTGGCAGCTGGGCCCCAAACTCCAGTGTGCAGCCTCCTTCATGGGGTGCACCTTGGGAATTTGCAAATGTCAGACCACAGCCTTCAAAATAAGTCCAAGCTGAAAAAAGTCTGGGCTGTGAAATCCTGTAGGAGGCTTTTTACTGGTCTACTCATGAGTGAGACGTTGGGTTGGTTCAATGTTGGTTCACCATGATAGATAATGTATCTTCTGAGCCATAGTTTATGTATTGTGATGAGTAACAAAAATCACTATTAAGATTTACTTGAGACTTCAAGACTTTTATGTCTCTTAGGACTGTTGACAGTCTGCAATGACTGTGATTGCTTTTCATCTCCAAAAGCACAGCATTTCTTCTATATTATCTAAAACTTGGAGGCTCACACATCACCAGGCTCTTTTACAGAAGTACAGCATTGAAATGCAAAATTTTCAAATATATAGTGCTGGTTCAGAGAAGGGACTAATCTGCTCCCTGAGTCCCTGGGGAATAAGAAAAGAAGCAATGGGCTTAAAGAGCATCCCTTGGAAACATCTCCTATAGTGCTGGAAGGCTGCCCAGGGTGTCCATGGAGCCTCCACTGCTGGAGGAGAAGAATTTGTGCAGAGTGCCCGTGCTGCTATTGATCCAGAATTGGGAGGAAAAGAGGGACATGGCTTTTGAAAGCCTTACTGGTCATCCTGTGTATGATTTGGTTTCTTATGGCCGTGGGTCTATAAGCAGCACTGTCAAACCCTTAGCATACCATTGCAGAGGGTGTAGGTGTTTTTCACTTATTTTTAGAACTTGACCTTACAAGACTGAAAAATAACATTTTCCTTCTGACTTTTGTCCTTCGCTTGGCAAAGATTAGTCAAAAACACAGAGATGGAAAATATTTAAACTTTAAACTAGTACGAGCTTTTCTTTTTTTTGTTGTTTGTTTGTGTGCTGGTTTCATTTGTGATGTCAACTCCAGTCAGGGGAAAAAGGTGTCACTAAGCTGGCACTGCACAGGGTGAAAACCACCTTTACACTGAAGCCCAGATAAACACAATCTGCTGCTCAATTTTTTTTAAAATCAGTAATGCATAAAAATATATATATATATTGATAGATCTAGACAATGTTTCCCCATCAGATAATGGCAAGTTGAGATTTATCATCTACTTTTGAATTCATCCTTTTTAAACCAGACACAGGCACCCAGAAATAACCAAGCCACAACCAAACACTTTCTGAGCTGCCACGGTGTGTTTCAGCTGCATTAGTGATTTAGAGGGATTTCTAGTCCTCAAATCTGAATACAGAAAGGTATAAAGTGAGTCCAAGGAAAATAAAGGTAGGAATGACCTCACCCCATGGAGACACCATGTCTTGCTCAACTCAAGGAAGCTCTGTAGAAACTAGCTAGGGTTTAATTTGTGCAGTTATTTTGCTACTGTCAGTGAATAGAAATGACCCCAGAAACTGCTGCAGACCAAAGAGAAATGGCTTTGGGTCTCTGGGAGAGTGGTGATGTCCTTGCAGATCATCCACACTGCCCATTGCCCACACCACCAGGGCTCTCGTGGCAGTCAGGTTCACTGCTGGTGGCCCTGGGTGTTTTAAATGCTTTGGTGACTGGCAGCTCATCCCTACAAGGTGTCTCTGCTCTGCCCTAGTGAGGCCACCTCTAGAGTATTGTGTCCAATCCTGGACTCCTCTTTTGCTGACCACTTCTCCCAGGAGGAAGGACAAAGCCATTAGCAGCAGTATACATGTAGGAAAGACTTCACCAGCCCATTCCAAAGCACATAGAGAAGGTGTGAGGTGGCTGAGCAGTGCATTCACTGACAGTGTATGATGCAGCAAAGAAAGGAGTTAGCAACCAGGTCATCAGTCCAGTTCCAACCAAACAGCACTTGCCAAGGAAAAGCCTCTTACCTCCCTCATCCTCTTTCTGTCCTGGTCTTCATCTTGTCCTGCCATCTCTGGGAACTCTTCTTGCAGCAGACAGTCATGGAACTCTCCTGAGACCTGGCAACCTTACCTACTACATGTACTCTGTAAATAGACCCCTCACATCACTGCAAGCAGAGGCAGCTGTTAAACTATTGACTTGGAGGCAGGGGCACCTGGTGGTGATCTCCTGACTGGCTCCCACCCAAGGCTGGTCCAACCCTGGGTGACAATCAGTCAGGAAGGTCTTTCTTAATCTGGTTGTGGACATCATCCATGTGCTAACCCTCATTCAGGGGGGTTTAAACCCCAGCACCTCAGTTCCCCAGTTCAAGATAGACAAGGAACCACTGGAGATTGTCCAGTGGAGTCTATGGAGATGCTGAGGGGCTGGAGCATCTCTGTGATGAGGAAAGGCTGAGAGCCCTGCTTTAAAATAAAAATGGTAAATATTTCCCATAAAATCACTAGAAAAAAAAAAACAAACCAGTATATTCAATAAAATCTGTTCAATAATCAGTTGCCATGGTTTTGATTTGACCCAGAAATGCTAAAATGTGGGAAACCCAATTGTTCCAAGTTCCAGCTAAACCACTTTTGCTTACCACAAGGATCAAACCCTCAAAGCTGATTTACCTGTGAGCTGACAGCAAGAAGCCCCTTGCTGAGCTGGGACTCAAGATGAGCTGGCATGTGCATGTAAAAACTCTGCTGCAGCATTCCTGTGACAGAAAACTCGGGGGGGGTGTTTGCTTGTGTGTTTGCTTGCCTGGGTAGCTCTGTGTGCTCCCCAGTGCCTGCACCCCGTTACCTCCAAGGCTTCTGCACAGCCACAGGAATGGGAAGTTTTTTCCTGAACATGGGAGGTCTGAGGTCGAAATGAGAAAAAAAATCTTGATGTATATATCCAAGGCTCCTGCTGCTCTAACACTTTACAGCCTGAGCTACTGTTTCCTGGGGCTTTCCTGTCCGTGTCCCAGGGGTGTTGTGTGATCAACATACTGACAGATTTCACAATCAAGCAGTGGGAACGTCCTGGCTCTCAGACTAACCTTTTTCACAGGTCACCATTTCACTTGTGAGTTCCTTGATAGAGCAGCCTGAAGATTTTCTTTGGGTAGATTTTCATTCGGCTGCTCCAGAGATTTCTCCATCCGTGCATCTTCTGATGGGAAGAGCTGGGTTGAGACTGAGTGATGGGAAAAGCTGGATTGAGCCTTGTGGCTTTGCAGACAGGCAGAACAATCTACCTTCCTTCCACACCACCACTCCTGCACTGCACCTTCCTTTAGACAAGCCTGGGTGGGGGGTAATTAGAACCTCAGCCTCCATGGGCTAGTACCTCTGCCCCATCCCTCTCTGGAGCAGGATGTGATAGCTCCTCTTTGGAGCTAGAAGATGATTCAATAACTCTACTCCAAATGTGAGTGGTGAAATTGTCTTTGGGGAGTTTAAGGAGCCTTTTCTAAAGTTCTAGTGAAGTCCAGATGTCTTTTGTGATCTTGTGAGCAGCTTTAGAAGGAAAAATCTGTGAGGGATATGGCTATGAATCATCCGTCTACCCCGTGTCCCATGAAGAAGAAATAAAAACCCCAATCCAAAAAAGAATCCATTTAATTCTGGAATTTTCTGACCTATTTTGGTGCAAGACAGCCTGAAAAAAAAAAAAATCAAAAAAAAATCAAGCTACTCTGCTGATGAGTTTCTCATATTGTTTACTTTTGTAACGTTCTCTGCGGACCAGCAGCCAGAAATGACGTCCACCCCTCGTCCAGCATCAGAGAATAAGAACTTCAGAGGAAGGAATGCGACTTCATAAATAGCAAACCACAGACACTAATGGGGAGCAGAGGCAAACCTGCAGGTTAGAAATTCCTTGCAAGAGAAGCCCGTGGGTCCACACTGCCTGCAGAGTCCAAGATGATTCCAGCTCTAGCGTTTGTTTTCCTCCTCTGCCTCTCTTGTCCTTTCTCATCCGGTCAGCAAAGAAGAGCAGGTAAATCATTTTAATTCTTTATTTTTGGGGCTCGTGTGCTTTCTAGACCCCTGTGAAAATGCTGGTTTGCAGGAGGGGAGGAGGAAGAAGTTTAACATTCCAGCTGCGTCTACGGAAGCCTGAAAGCAACGTTTAGGAATTGGGTCGTTCGGGAGGAATCTTGAAGCTTAACTGTGTAAATGCTCAGGCTGAGATGTTCCTCAGCTCCCCTCCTGAGGAGTAAAGGGGGTTTTGAAAAAAACCCATTCATTCTAAGAAATGTTGTTGGTTTGTAATTTAAATTAATCTACATTTTGCATGCGATTTAAGTTATAAAACCCCAGATCATACCAAATGTCCTACAGCAGGATCCTTGGATATTCCCTCTGCTCCTGCACACAGAGCTCAGGGAAGCCCTGGTTTCTAGGAAAGTAGCCACCCTAAGTCCATTATCAAAGTTCTTCTCTGAAGAGCCCACCAGGGGAATGCTGAACCCCAGGAGGACCTGTGAGATCCAGCAGATCAGAGTGTAGCAGAGATTCAGAGTTGTCCTTGTGGAGCCAGAAGGAGCCCAGGGAGAAGGATGGAGAGGAATGGAAGTGTCTGTGAGTGCAGAGATTTCCTTTGGAAGCTGCTCCTGAGTGGTTGAATCATTACTGTGAATTTGAATATTAAAAAAAAAAAAAACAACCTCAAACTTTTATTTTAAATTGCATCTTGCTACCAGGGATGGAAAATTCTTCCCAGGAATAACAGAAGCTGCCTGGAGCCTTCCTGCAGAGCTTATTCAAAACCTCTGTTTGAAGTTAGAAATGATGTGCAAGCTCCTTGTTTTCAATAAAATAAGAAACATCACTTTAATTCAGTCTTTCTGTCTTAGAATGACCCGTTTGTAGTCCTTTCAATTGAATTCCCAAACCAAAATGTATTGGGGAGGCTACAAATAGTCATAAATACTGAATTTTGGTTGTGTGTGGGGAAGACCTGTGAGGCTTTTCAGGCTCAGCCAGCACCTGAGAATGCTGAAGTTGTGCTGTCAGCAGCAGGGGATCACATCCTGCCTTTGGTGCTGGCAGATTCTGCACGCTCAGGGAGGCAGACCCCTGAGCCCAGCTCATTTTCCCCTTGCTTACACTGCAGGCAAGGTGTGACTTCTGATAGAGGACCACTTAATCTAGAAAAAAAACAGAGAAATGGGGTTGTACCTTCAGCTGGCAGGCAGGAGAATACCAGAGTTCAACTTTTTGCCCAATTAAGTGGTCCAAATTTTCTTAGAATTTACCTAACTCTAGAAACAATGAGCTACTTCCATTCATTCTTCTGGAGTGAGGCTGGAGTGTAGACTTGATTCTCATGCTCAGAGGACTAAGCAAGCCCAGAATCTAGCAGATGGGGTGGAAAGGTCACCTTAATATACCCTAGATGACCTCGTGAGGTGATTTGCATCCTCTGTTCAGCACAGCTCAAACAGGATTTTGCAGTGTTGCATGGATGAGATGTCTCCTTTCTGTCCCAAAGCCACTAGAAGGCAAATTGAAACTACTGCTACCCAAAAAAAAACCCCTTCTCCAGCAAAAGAAACCTTCTGTACCTTGAGAGCAGGCGAGGCGACGGCTGATGTGCTGGTTTTCCACGTTCAGTGCTTGGCAGCACGTTTGGGATGGACTCAGCAAAGAGTCTTGACTGCAGCAGTGCCCTTCAGAGCAGCTTCCACAGCCCTGAATTATTCATTTGCTTCTTTTGGCAGCCAGTTCCTTCCTGTGTGTGAACTGCAGAGACCACGCCAGGCTCACAGCTCCCACAGCTGCCAGCCTGCCAGCCCCGGGGGTTTGCCAGGGGGTAGTAGCTGTTACCTGCCTGACAGGCACTGCTGATTCTCACCCTCTGCCCTGCCCAGAGCAAACTCCACCCTGCCTGCAAGTCAACGTTAATTCCAGCAAAATTCCAGCCAGGAGCTGGCAGAGGCTGGTGTGGAGGAGCCTGTGCCTCTAATATAGATCTTTTAATACATATCTTCGAGCTGAAGTTAATATCAATTCATTTGTACTGCTAATGGCTCCGCTGTGGCTTTTTCCCAACCACTTTGGGGTTTTTTTAGGAGTTGAAGTTGGGCCAGAAATGCTGGAAGAGATGAGAGAAACCAACCGTGTGCTGATGGAAGTTCGAGACTTGCTGAAGCAGCAGGTAGGTGAGGAAATGAGGGCCCTGGTTCCTTACAGGCTGCACAAAGGAGCTCTCTGAGCCCCCTGCCCTGAGTTCTGGAGTTGTGGGGCTGCTTTTTGTGCAGCAAAACGAGCAGTAGGGTTATTGCCCCCAGGCAAGAGCTGGTCCCACCATCAGACTGATAATTCTGAGATGAAGCAGATTCGTTTGCACGCCAAATTCTGCTGCTGAGAACTGTTTTCTGCTGAAAAACAGCATACATGGAGAATGAACTCTCACAAAAGACACACACACAGGCAGTGGGTATATATTCAACTGGAAAAACAAGTCACTTTTTCCTGGGTTTTGTGGGCCCATGGAATCAGTGGAGAGTCCAAACTTGGAAGGCGGATGAGACCTTTCAGGGTCCTGGAAAGGAAAGCCATATGGAGAATAAACAAGCTCTGTATTTTTTTTTCCCCTGGTTGTTTTAATCCTAAGGCTTTCTGGCTCCAGCACTTCTTGGGTGCTTAGATCTTTTCCCGTTTTAACGAGGAGTTGGTGGTTTCTCTGGTCCACTCTCTTTTAAGTCTAGAAAAAGGTTCCATTCTCCCTCTCTGCGCTGGGGGAGGTGAGGGCAGCAGCCCCTCCCTGCCAGATAATTGGACTGGCAGACAGGTCTCCATGCCAGGGCAAACTGGGCGGCCTCTGATCTGCAAAAACATCTGCTGCCTTGAGTTCCTCTCACATTTCAGGCTGCTGCATAAATACCCAGTGTTTACTAGGAACCAGGTCAGACATGGTTCCTGGCAGCCTCGAGTGATGATTTCCAGTGCTCCCTTCCAGCTCAGCACTGCTGCTCCATGCAGGTTTTCTATTTGTTCTTTCTTTCCTCTTGCCACCTCCTTTTTTTTTAATTCTAATCCATGGTCACCTTCTCAACAGTGCTTTCAAGAAAACTCCTCCTCAGAAAACAAACCAGCCTAAACAAGTAGGGAGCCAAGGTGGCAGTTCATAACTCCTTAATCTGTGCAAGGATTTCCTAAAACTGATGTTCCCTTGATTCAGCATCTTGAGATGTTGGCAATCAGAATGGCAAAAGGCACAACAATAAAAGGCCAGATACTCTCCCCAGCCAAAGGCTGGAGGATTCTTGGCACAAAGGGAGCACTGATATTAGCAGTGCTCTGAGTTCCCCATCACCCACCTCTAGTGGGAGGGTTCTGGGGATTTGGGTCAGATCCAGCTCTGCGTTTGGTAGTCTCTGGGGATTTGGGTTAGATCCATCTCTGCATTAACTAATCAAAATACATGACCCCAGGCTGCACTGGAGGGAAGAGAGAATCTAACCTGGACTGAAAGCTTGTTCCTGTACCTGGGAGCTGGCACAGAGACATCAGCAGAAGCTTTTGTCAAAGTGAAATGATTTTATCATCATGGAAACAAAGCCCACAGGGTGTTGAAGGGTGACCCAGAGCATCAGTTGTAGAAGCCAGGAAGGCTTTTGTAGGATAGAAGTCTGCTGGGGTTGCTACCTAAGATGCTAGAGAGCCATATAAATGTTAGTTTGAGACCAGCAAGCCCACTAGTGCCTGTCCCATGGTCCTTTCTTCACCAGAGCAACAGCATCTTTGCACTGCTGATGCTAGAGGCCACCCCTTTACTGAAGCACACCTGAAGGGATAGGACCCTGGAGAAGATCAGAGGAAGTCTGGAGGGAGGAGCTTCCCTGAACAGATCCTAAATATCCTCATGGTGAGGGCACTAGGGCCACAGGGTGGCATAAGCAATGTCCAAGATTATTCATATTATCTGCAAAAGTGGCTCACAGGGGAACCTCCTCCAGACTTGGCTTATGGAGGGCCTGGACTGCAGATAAAGCAGCTCTCTGGGATTGCTGGGTCAGTGTCTCCTAGAGCAGAAGACCCAAATAAAGTAGATTTCTCTTTTTCTATGACACTTGTTCCTGTGTATTTAAGTCAAGTGTTTCTGCAGCTCTGACAGAACAGTGTTATGGAGTCAGCCTGTAGGAACTCTAGGCAGGGAGAGGGTGACAGCAAGGAAAAGAAGCCACCTCAGCATCCAAAAAATCCTCAGCGTAGACTCTGGGGTAAGAGGGAACTTGCTTGTAAGCAGCTGTGCAGCCTCAGACACCCTGTTTTCTGGGTTGTTAGTTTGTGTGGGAGCAAAGCTCACCCTTGGGCTAAGTGGTGGTTCTGGTTTTCTTCTAGATCAAGGAGATAACATTCCTGAAGAACACAGTCATGGAGTGTGATGCCTGTGGTGAGTTACTGAGCTGAGTCCCATGTTCAGCTGCCTCCCCCGGGTCCTTCCTACCAAACAAGTAGTAAAATGCTACCTGGGACCATCTCCCCAAAGCTAATACTCCATAGGAGTGATGCTTTCCCCCCCAGCACCATTCTGCACTCAGGGACCAGTGTCTCAGCCTTCTCTCATGGTTCCACAGCAGCTGAAGCCATCACCCCTTTCCCAAGCATGGGGTGCAGAAGTAGCCTTAAAAAGCTCACCTCTCCTTGCAGCAAAGCCCCTTCCTCCCACTGCTTCTGCAACAGGCTCTGTTGGTGCTTTCCTGCCACACCGAGCTGTTCTTCTGCTCAGGGCAGCCCCGTTCTGCTGCAGAGAGCTGCCCAGCACAGCTCCTGCCAGCCCAGCCCGCAGCCCAGGCTTGCCTGGGAGTGCACACTGGTACCCTGGGGTACAGAGCTGGCTCCTCCTGAGCTGCAAGTGGAAGAGAACATCACCCCCAAGAGGCATTGCTCCGTTACTCCTTCCATCCTAGTGCTGCCACCATCCAAGCAAAGAGCTTGTTTACAGAGGATTTGGGAAAGAGGATTGTAAATTTTCCCAGAGAAATCTTGCCCTCTGCTCCCCAATAATGATTTTTTTTTCTAGACTGGAGCTTCCTTCCAGTATATCTGGCTTTGCTGGAAGTGTGGTTCTTGGAGGTGCTGTTATTTGCCAGTCCACTCAAAGGGTGGAGCAAGAACCATTTCTGCCTTTGGAGAGCTTCTCCTTCTGCTGGAAAAGAGATTAGCCAAAGCTTCTGGGACCTGCACTGCAGAAGTGCATTCATTCACAGCCATCAGTTTAATAATTTGCTCATAAAACTGTCCTGAACTTTCTCCCTGTTACTTGATTTCTGCCTTCCCCACTTGCTATTCTGCTTTATGTGCTCCTCACTGCACAGTCTGAGCCTCTTTTAGTCATGCCTTGAACAACGTGACTCAGGGCAGTCGTGTGCTTCTCTCATTATTGCTCAGGAAGAGCAGCACGAAGAGAGGAGGTCTTGTTTGTAGTGAAGATTTTGCTGCTGCTGGTCTTGGTCTTTGTCTTGTTTTCTTTCTTTTATGTCAGGTTTTTAAGCTGGAGAAAGCAGGAGCAAAAAGGGTCCTTGCCAATTAGAGTATCGGGTGTGGGAGACTTGTGACCATCCTGGATGCTGGGAAAGTTTATTCACAAGGCTGAGTTGGCCTCAGAGAAGTTTTGCATCCCATAGAGATTAATTTTGCAAATTCTCTCGTGCTGGGGGTCAGGTCATGAGGATGAGGACAAGACCCTGGCATTTGGCTGACAGGAAATTTCCCTTCTCGAAGGGAAGCTGGTGGGTAGCAGGGTGGGGACAGGCTCAGTTTGTTCAGGGTGCTGCTGAGCAGGACTTCAGTAGCATTTTATACAGGTTAGAGTTTCCTACACATCTGCTTAGGTAGAATTGCTGTATTCCAGCCTGGGAGTGATGGATGCCTGAATAACAGAGTGATTTCTCACCTGCCAGGGTGCAGGGAGGTTTCCTAGCCCTGTGGAGAGAACAGGTAGCATGTGATGTGTGGCAGGAGAGCCTGCTGTGAGTGCTTTCCTGCTGCAAACCCTGCTGACCTGTTTGACAGCACAGGTTTTGGCTGCCAACACCTCCACAGTGCTTCCCAGATTCAATCCCCTGTGGTTCTGCTGGGTCGGTACCCCCGGTGAGGTGAAGCTGCAGAGGAACCCCAGAGAGAACTGATCTCTGTGGAATTCCAAAGCCAAGGGCATTCCTCCAACATGGATGGTGGCACAAGAGCTTTGGGAGCTGAGGCTTCTGGGGTTTCTTATTTATTTTTTGCCTGCTCTGACTCAGAAATCTGTCAGATTGCTGCTTCTGGCTGCATTTACAAAACAGAGCTACAACTGCTCAGCCCTCAGGAACTGGGATGGTTTAATCTGGAGAAGAGGAGGCTGAGGGGAGACCTTATTTGTTCCTACAACTCCCCAAAAGGAGGTTGGAATGAGGTGGGGGTTGGTCTCTTCTCCCAAGTGACCAGCAATAGGATAAGAGGAAGTGGGCTCAGGTTGTACCCGGAGAGGTTTTGGTTGGATATTAGGGAGAATTTCTTCCCTGGCAGACTGGTGAGGGGTTGGCCCAGGCTGCCCAGGGAGGTGCTGGAATTCCCATCCCTGGAGGGGTTAAAAAACCACCTAGATGTGGCACTTGGGGACACGGTTTAGTGGTCACAGGAGCGTTGGGTGGAGGTTGGACCTGATGCTCTTGGCGTTCTTTTCCCACTTCACGACTCAGAAGGGCAGCGAGGAGATCTCCTGCCTGGGAACCCCCTGCTGCCAACCCGGGGCTGTACCCCTCTGTCCTGAGCACCCCTCTCATCCTGCAGGCATGCACACGGAGGCGACGGGCCCGCTCATCACGGTGACCCAGCTGAAGGGCTGTGTCCCCAACCCCTGCTTCCCCGGGGTGACCTGCACCCAGAGCGGCACCGGCTTCCGCTGCGGCCCCTGCCCCCCGGGCTACTCGGGCAACGGCTCCCACTGCACCGACATCAACGAGGTAGGAGCCCAGCAGGGCTGGGCCTTCCAGAGCTGCCTGGCTCTGCCTGGGCTTGGCCTGCTGGGGATAAAGTCCTGGGATTCCCCTCGGAGCTGGAGTTGCACAGAAACAGCCTTTCCTTGGAAGGGACGCCGTGTCTCACGCTCCCTTAGCTCTGCTCGGGGGTGGGTTTGTGTCCAGTCTAGGCAGGAATTCCTTCCCAAAACACACAGAGCCTCAAAGACAATAAATCTTTTGGTTTCTACCACACAGGAAGGTGAGTTTGGAAGACCAGAACGGTCCCTTTTGGTCTTGCAATCTTTCGAGCTAATGGCTGATGAGTTGTTAGAGATAAGATTTATGATGTGTGGAATAGAATCAAGTGCTTCCCAAGGAGTCCTTTGTACAATAAATCTTAGCACACTGCTCATGTTGCTTCAATTCTGCCTTTAAATCAAACCTCCCTGGGCAGATACTGCTTCATTTTATTATTTTTTTAGAAAGTGTGGCATTCTGTCAAGTTTACTCTGTGCCCATGCAAGGCTTTATCAGCCATTAGTTCTGTGTGTCCATGAGGCTCCTTTGTTCTCTGGTTCCCAAACCATGGCCCTGTGCTCGCTGATTACTCCAGCCAGCAACTCAAAGTGTCTTAAGGCAGTGAAAATAACAGACTCCAACCCAGTGGAAGGAGTGGTGCAGTGCTCTGGGCTCCGAGGCTGGAGGGAAGTGTGAAGGGAAGGCAGCTCTGCCTGGGCCGATGTCACCCAGGAAGAATTAGTCCTGCAAGTGGATTTGTTTCACTGGTCTGCACATATTGGAACCTGGGAGAAAAGGGAGGTGGGGAAGCTGCATGTTCCACTTGAGGGAAGCCAGGAGCTTCTTATGCCTGTTTGTTTTACTCTCTAAAAACCCCCAGTACAATGGCTGGACGTGACCCAGCAGTGCCCCACGTTGGGAGCTGCCTCCTGAGCTGGCTGGGCTGAGCCTTCCTCACCCTTCTCACAACCTCCTTCCCTTCCAGTGCAATGCCAACCCCTGCTTCCCCAAGGTCCAGTGCATCAACACCTCCCCCGGGTTCCGCTGCGACCCCTGCCCCCCCGGCTTCACCGGCCAGAGGGTCGAAGGGGTGGGACTGGCTTATGCCAGGGCCAACAAACAGGTAAGGCCCAAAAACTTCTCTGTCTCCTTCAGAAGCTGTTAACTCCTTTCCCCTCTAATTGTGACCCAAAGGTCTCAGCCTGCACAGCGGTGGGAGGGCAATACAGGGTGGCTGGGCGTGGGTGGGAAGGCTGATGCCATGGGAGGAGGTCACCACAACCCCAGGCAGTGCTCCCTGGGGAGGAGTGGCTGGAAAGCTGCCAGGCAGAGAAGGACCTGGGGGTGTTGGTGGACGGGTGGCTGAATGTGAACCAGCGTGTGCCCAAGGTGGCCACCAGCATCCTGGCCTGGGTCAGCACTGGTGTGGCCAGCAGGAGGAGGGCAGGGATCAGCACTGGGGAGGCCACAGCTCGAGCAATGGGGTACGTGTTGGGCACCACAGGATGAGAAGGACATTGAGGGGCTGGAGTGGATCCAGAGAAGGGCCATGAAGCTGGTGAAGGGCCTGGGGAACATGGCTGGTGAGGAGCAGCTGAGGGAGCTGGGGCTGCATAGCCTGGAGGAGGCTGAGTGACCTTCAGTGATGCTCAGCAGCACCGCTGGGCTCTGGCTCCAGCTTGTCTGAAGGAGAACTTGGAGCTGTGGCTCCTAGTAAGATGTGTCGGGGGCTTTGCATCAGCACCTGGTGATGCCCCAACCCTGTAAGCTGCCGTGGTGTCTGCTGAAGAGTGAGGCCAATGCCCCTTTGCTCCTCTGGGCAGGTTTGCACCGACATCAATGAATGCGAGACGGGCGCTGCCAGGAACTGTGTCCCCAACTCCATCTGCATCAACACGCGGGTGAGCACCCCTGGGGAGCACCCCTGGGGACCAGCCCTGGGGACCAGCCCTGGGGAGCATCCCTGGGGACCAGCCCTGGG